AGGCCCCCACGTTAATGGTCAGATTGCCCTTTATGCAGGAGGAGCTGTGGGTGACACGAGGACGGGTGGGAGCAATCCAGCTTCTCCCCGTGGTGTTGCCCTCCACCAGCTCCCCGGCTGTATTTTGTTAGTTTTTCCTTTTCAGAGGAGGGAAGTGAAGAATCCATTTACAGCTTCATATTCTTTCTTGCTCATAGACTTTGTGGCTTTCAGAAATGTTTTATCATCTTTCTTGAATTTTTCCATTTGAATCTTTGCTGCTGCTAATCTGCAGATGTTTCTGTCTCTTCCTTCAGCTTTTCAGCTTTCACCATCTTTCCTCCAGCCCCTGCTTTTCCACCTTTTTCTTCTCCAACTTCCATTCCTCACTAAGCACTTCTTTCAACTCCCTACCTTCCCTTTTCAGTGTTTGGCTCCCTGTTGGCAGGTACCAGGACTCTGGTTTTTGTTGCATGGGAATGTGAACAGAGAATCTGATAAATGCCAGGGATCCCAGGTCTCTTGGAATTAATTGGGAGTAAACTGCCTGCACAGTTGCCTCACCCTCTTGGTTTAAAGCAGACACTGAGCTGACAAATGCTTTTTGTCTGTGGAGCAGCCATCTGCAAAGCCATACAGAAGACTTCAGAGCCACCTCTCCTATTTTGCAGGTGGGAAAGGCCATCCCAGGTAAAGGGAATAGTTTTATCAGTCCAGAGAGCTCAGGTAAGTCATAGGTCTCTGCTCTCACTGCTGGGTCAATTTGCCAGAATGATTAAGAGATTAATTTCGTGGTCTGCCACAGACTTCTGGTGTGGCCCTGTGCAAGCCATGTAGATTTTTTCTTTACTACTGTGACCCCTCTTTGAAAAATGAGCATAACAGCACATTCACAGTTCTAGGATTAATTAAAGAGTGTTATTAAAGGCTGTGACACTGTTGTTGAGTACACCTAATAGGAGAGAGACAAAAAATACCACATTGATGAGGTCGGTGAATTTGAGCTATTCAAAACCACACTAATTTTTTTTTTTTTTTTAATCAAATAATTACTCAGAAGAGGTGGTCAAGCATTTATAAAGTGTCTGAGCTCCTGCTCCTAGAGGCAAAATTCCTCTGCAGCAAACATGAAGTCTTCGCAAAAACTAAAGATCAGATTGGATGAGGTTTACCCTCAGCAGAAATTAATTCGCATGGGACAACGGGCAACCAGACCCTCCCAGGAGAAAACTGGTGGTCAGTGAACACGTTGCTGGTGCTGACCCTTTTGCTGCTGAGTGTAGGCTTCAGGTGGGTCTCGAAGACTGGCTAAAGCCCATAGCAGGCTGCTGAGTGGCAGGGTGGGTCTGCAGACTCCTTTAGAAGCATACTCTCTCTGCCCCTAAGTCAGAGGAGTGGCGTGGTAAGAAGTGTGTCAAGTCTGAAGAGTTTCCTTAATCCTATCGATTTCCATCCTCTTCCAGTTCCTTCGATGTCCTCGCAGTCAACTGGGCAAACAGGGTGCCGAGTAGCACATGCTTCAAAGCATGGTTGTGCCTTTGCCACCCTCCGACCAACACTCCTGTTAGATTTGTGACTTGCAGCACCAGCAAGCAAGAACTAGCAAAACAGACCCAGAATTATGGCTTGCAAGTCCCGAGAACCTCAGGAGTGTTAGCTACTATTCGTGTGCACAGTATTTTCCCCTGAGTGAGCAATCCTGGAGCCAAGCCATCTATTAAACCTCTAATAAGCGAAGGAGCCCAGTCCATGGGTGGGTGACCTCTCTGCACCAGGGCTGTGAGCAACCCAGAGACAGAACCACTCGCATTTAAAAACCAGGCACTTACAGCCTCTTCGTTTATAGAGGCACTAGAACTTTGTAGAATACGCTTTCCTGTATTTTTTTTATTACATTTTTCATGTTGACACAGAAAGAGCAGAGGTGTGGAGCTTGTGGCTGACTTGCCTGTGGCAGAGCCAGGAACACTAGTCTGTGGTCTCATCGTCCCAGACATACTCCACGGTTTGAAACAGGGCTTTAAGACTTTCCTGCACCCACCTGTCTGCTCATAAAGGCTTTTATACTGACCCCAGGACTTTCCACGGTGATGTTCTTGGCCACGCAGGAAGTGCTGAGAAGGGGAGCAGTTCCTGGTGACCTGTGGCATGGTGCTGGCTTGGTCCCTGCTCCACAGGGCTGGGCTGCAGGCTCCTGGGGCTGTGGGAGCTTGCTGCAAAGCTACATCCAGCTTCAGACAGGATCAGTTTCACTTGCAGAAAAATCCCGCTTTGGTAACGATTCATTAACACCTTGATTAATTACACATTACTTCAGCACAGGTAGGAACACTTGCTGCAGAAACAGCCAGTGCAACCATGCCCAGGGTATGGTGGCACCGCAGCCCCAGCCAGACCGGAGCATCATGCCCAGACATAGTACATGGTGATTTCTGCCTGGCCCAGGTGGAGGGAAGTCTGGCTTCGAGGTCTTTGGGAAAGCTCTGAATGCAAAATTTCGGGACCTGGAGTTGTATTTAGAAACAGTTAGCTCTGTTCTGATGGTATTTGGAGCTGTCAGAATTGACTCTCCATAGTTTTGCTTTACGTGCTACCGTGCCCTGCACAGGCCGTGTCACATACAAGAGGCACTCAGTGAGAACACAAACCCTTCCCTGCAAACCTTAATACCCACGCAGAGAGCTTAAAGTACTTTGAACTGTGCAGATATTGCCCCTAATTTTGAGGAATAAGGTTGACTCAGCTCTCATTTTACCCATGGCTGCCTTTGCTTTCAGCAGTAAAGCCTGCTCCAAAGTATTTCCATGGAGGATTTCAGGTTGGGGTTATGGGTGTTAATGTACTGCTTCTGCAGTGAAATTCAACACTGTAGCTGTAGTCTGGGGGCCAGGGGATTTCACTGCAGAAATGCTGTTTTCCCCTACCTGTCTGATTTCAACAGCAAACTCGCCTTCACTCCTCTAGCTAATCAAAAACCGAAGCTGATGTGGAATGATGGGGTGCCTGTTGCAGAGCAGATAGCTCCTCTCCCACCCTCCAGCGCCGGCCCCAGCACCCTGCCCGCCTCACCAGGCCCTCCAGAGCCCCTTGCCGCTCCGTGCCATCATCCATCTGTCTGTCCCTGGGGTCTCCATGTGTCACTGCAACACAGGGACAAGGCTGGGACCTGTGAGTATCTGGGGGGAGCACATACATCTCCAACACCCGTCCTGTACTTTCAAGAAAGCCACTGGCTCTGCTTAGAGGGGAAAAAACCCTGATATTTGGTTCATTTCGTTTTCACCTCTAAGTGCCTTTGATGTGAATGTAAGAGGTGGTACCATCAAATGCTATTTAAGAGCCAGTGCTCGTTAAATATTAGGATCAACACAGGGTTTGATTCACAAGTAGAAAGAAGATTCTGTGTCCTGAAGGAGACGATTTCCAGCACTTTTTGATGTATTTCGGGGTTTTTAGTTCAAACCTAAATTTTACATTAATGGAAAGTTACAGACGGCACCGGATGGTTTCTCATGGGAACAGCTGTGTTTTGCCGCTGGGCGATCGTGCTGCCCAGGCTTCACAGAAACCTTTGCTTCTGATCGCGCCGCTGGTTTCTATAGTTTGATATAACAAAAGAAGAGAAACAAGTTTTGTTTGCCCAGCAAAGTGACTGCGGCAGCTTTGCAGAGATTACGCTGTCAAAAGTGTTAGACAGGGGACCAGGTTTTCCTTCTCTTCTTTGCTCCTTTCCAAACAGCCCCTGCATCCATCTGCAATTAATTTGGATTTACCAAGGACACTGGAGCTGGAAAACATCCGCAAAAGCTGGCTGTTGTCCTGCTAAGACGCGCTGCTCTCTACCAGGCTCTGGGGAGCCCTAGGGGAAAACATGCCAAAGGGGGGGGCACTTTCACCCCCCAAGGGACGAGGAGAAGAGGGTGAGATGCCCCCCAGTGATCACTTTGAAGGAAAACTGTGTGCCCTGTTAGCAGCACAGCCCAAAACCACGGGAGGAGGGGTCCCCAAATACCGTGTAAATGACTGTGGCAGAGAATAAGCCCCACTGAGCACATGTTGTGTCTGCTTAGCTCATAGGCAAAATACCTCTCATAAGGAATAGCAATAGCAAATTAATTGGGAATAGTTGGAATTTGGATCCTCTTTTTCAGGCTTAAAAAGTGCCTTAAAAGCATAAGTTGAAGCTGAGGCTGCTCCCAGGGGATGGGGGGACTTAGCGTGGCCATGGGCCAACAGCCTGGGGACAAGTTTTGGCTGTTTCTGTCCAATAAATAATTCCTGATATCGGTGTAGGATGGAGGGGCACACAAGCAGGGCCTGCTGTGCTGCAAGTGGGAACACAAAGGTGGAAAAAAGCCTGTCCCTGGTGCTTTCCTGGAATGCATTTCCAGTGGGCTCATGTGGGCAATGCTGCTTGTCCCACGCACAGGCTGGTCCTGGCAAAGGCCACCCCGTTCAAGCCACTCCTGGCACCCCGATATCGGGGAGAGCCCCGGCGGCAGGTGGGGGTGGCAGAGCCTGAAGGCACCGAGGGGCACCTGCTTGGGGGCTTAATTGCTCTTCTTTTGTGAGAAAGGCCGAAAAATAAAAGAGAGAAAGAAAAAAAAACACAACAACAACAACAACAAAAAAAAAAAACCACAAAAAAAAAAAAAAACCAAAAAAAAAAAAACAAACCCAAACCTACTAATAAATACAATGTTTCAGCGGCTCAAGAGAGGTGGCTCCCCCGGCCGGGGCTGGGGGCAGGAGCTGGGCAGGCTCCTGGGGACCCTCGCGGGGGCAGCCGAGACCGGGAATGGGAAGGAAAAAAATATGTATTAAAAAGTCGTTGTTTTCTTCCTCTTTTTTTTTTTTTTTTTTTTTTTTTCCTGTTTTTTCTTTTTCTGCTGAGCATAGCCCAGCCGCCTCACACCTGAGCGGGGAGTGGCGGAGGCGGAGCGGCGCTGTCTCCTCCCCCTACTCCTTCTTCTTCTTTCTTCTTCTTCTTCTTCTTCTTCTTCTTCGCCCGTTCCCACCCGTCTCGCCGCTCTCTTCCCTCTCCCTCCTCGTCTCCCGGTAGCTGTGAAGGTCTGTCCGTCCGCAAGTCTGCACTCGGTGCCTGCTGCCCCTATGCTCAGCGCCCTGCGCTGCCCGCCCCAGCCATGTCTGTCGCGCAGCTGTACACCAAGGTGAGCAGGGCAGTGGGGGGGGAGGAGGGGGTTCTTCCTTATATTTTGGGGGGTTGTTCCGCAGCCATGGGGGGAACTCACAACTTTCCCCCCCCAGGCCCCGGGCCGGTGCCTGAGGAGCGAAAGGGGAACCCCCACTGTCCTCTCCTCACTCCCCGCGGGTCCCGGACCCTCCCGGCAGTCGGGACGGGTGTGTGTCCCCCCCCCCCCGCTTCGTCCCCCTCCCTGGGATTTCATCCGCACGGGTGAACGAGCGGGTTGGTTTTGGGCAGGGGTGGAGGGGGCGGCGGGGAACTGCCCGGGGGTCGAGGTTGGGGCGGAGTTGGCCGTGTTTGCTGATGGGCTCGTTACCGGAGCGGGTGGGGCGCGCAGCTAAAACTGGCTCAGCTTCCCCAGATCCCCGTCGAATTTTTCATTTCCCCTCCTATTCCTCAAAAAATCGGGGGGGGGGGGGGGGGGGGCGGGGCGTACGGGGGACGGACACCAAACCAGCAACCCAGTCCCTTACAACTGCCGTAACCGAAACGCTCCCGAGGCGCCCCGTTTCCAGAGCCCGTGTTTGCTCTGCAACCCCCGAATGTGCCCCCTCGTCGGGGGTACGGCGAAACGCACCCCTTTTGTCATGGCGGGGCGGGGGGGGGGGCCTCGCAGGGTGCCGAGGTGGCACCCAGACGTCCCCGTACCGTCCGTCCGTCCGTGTCCGTCCCGTGTCCCCCCCCCCCCGCCGCGCCGCTTCCCAGAGAGAAGCAGATATTTGCTCCTAGAAAGCGGCCGTTTCGAGAATAGAAATCTCGGGTGCTGCCTTTTAAGCGGAGCCTGGGAGCTAGACAAGATATTGCCTTCCCCGCGCCACCCTCTTCCCCCCTCCGCCTTTTTGAAAAATTATTATTTTGTGGCTGTGGGGTACCCGGGGAGGTTGCAGGGTATTCCCGTTCCTTTGCCAAAGTGGGCTGGGGATCCACCCCGCGCCGCCGGGACCTTTCTGCCCGTTTCCCAGCGAGAGGTTTGTGTCCGGGAATGTCTTTGCTAATTGACTTGCCTTCATGAAATTGCTCCCCGCAAGCCGCGGAGGCCAGCCCAGTACGGAGCGGTAACTGGTGAGGAGGGAGCCCCTCTCCCTGCGCTCTCCGAGGCTCCCCACGGGCGCTGCCGGCAGCCGGGGTCCGGGCAGTGGGCATGGGAAAAGCCGTCAGGAACGCCGGGCAGGGACTCGCCGAGAAAAGTGCTTGGCTTTAGAATGGTTTGTGCTGGAGGACTGTAAAGTGCCAGCATCCTCTACTGTAAGAAGGAGAATTTCAGTGCTTTAGATGCTTCCCGTGACCGTGGTCGGTGTGGAGATGCTGCCAGATTGGCAGCAGCCCTCTCAAGGCACCACTTTTTGTCTCCATGTCAGTCTCCCGGGTTTATCTTTTCTGCACATTTCTGCTTCTGTAACACATTTTGCTGACAGCTTGTGTGTAATGTTGCTAGTTTTTTTTTTTTTGACCATTGGTATCCAAAGGATGCAGGATGAATTGTGAACCTGGGGGCTCCTCCTTTGAACCTGTGGGAAGTGAAGCCTCCCTGGATTGAGCAGGGCTGCCAGCGAGCAGGCTGCCCTCCGTCCTTCTCTGGGGAGCTTCAGAAGCAATAGCTCAGGTTTGGAAAACCTTTTCCCCTTGGAAAGTCTGAAGGGGAGCACGAAGAAAGCTGTGGCTAACCTGCTCCCGTGTGCCAGCTGCAGCATCTCATCGGGTGGGTGTGTGGATGTGGTGGCAAGCATCCCTGGGGAGGAGGGAGGCTGGCTGCCAGCCCTGTGTTACACCTCTCTGGGCTGCTTGTAACAACCAGGTGTATTAATTCTGAACTTGCTGATCAGATACCTAACCTGTGCTGTGTTTTTATGCTAACTTGGTTAGATTTCAATTCCTGTTTGTCTGTTGAATGGGTGTAGGATGCCTGCCAGGGCATTGCTTGTGATCCTCTTGCTGTATAGGGACTTCTTGACAAGGCAGTTGAGAAGTGTTGGGGATTTGGTGATAATCTGTGTGTGTCATTAATTTTTAATTTATGATTAATAACAGCAAAGATGCTTGCTGAGAGCTGGTGTTTCACTGCTAGCCCTTCTGCTGGTGTCCGTCTGCCTTGTGGGGACATTTTAGGGAGCCAGCTGGTGTGGTCAGTGGTGGGGCCAGGGATGGTGCCTTGAACACACGTGGTTCAGCTGTGAGGCTGAGTGCTGGCATTGCAGTGAAATTTAGGGCTGTCCTGCTGGGTCGTCTTCTGCATGGGGCCTCTGGGCTTTGAAGCAGCAGGAAAATGTTTTCTGTGACTTTGGGTATATTAGAAAAAGAGCAGAGAAAGCTCTTAAAAACCCAACAGCCTTAAGATATTGAGCTTGATGGTGCAGGTCACTGATGGAGGTCCCCCCTGATGAAGCAGAGGGGTTGCTCTCTTGCCTGCTCTTGGAAAGTGTTAAGGAAGGTCCTGGTGCTTGCTTGCATATCACTTTTGTGCAGATGCAGGCATCCAGCCCGGTGGCCTGCAGCTCTGCTGGACACATATAGCTCATATATGGTAGAGGCCTCAGAGTGTGGTGGGGAGCAGGCAGCCAGCTGTGGGGGGGCTACCCCGCCCCAAGCAGTCAGGAGGTGGTGCACCCTCTGTGCAAGGCTGCCAGAAGATGCTCTTAGAGAGTCACTGGGCATGGGGGGGGGGGGGGGGATGTGAACAAAGGGAAGGAGGGGGAAAGAGTCTGGGAGGTTCGGTGGGGTGCCACAGTGCAGGAGATGACTTTCCAAGCACAGAGGTGGGGGCCTCCTGGATCACCCTGTCAGCAGGATGGGGATAAGGATTTCTGAGGGAAGGTGGGCAATTCGGCTCGCTGGAATCAATACAGCTGTCTTGCTAAAAGCCTATTGATCCCATGTGGAGGGCTGCATTAGCAGAGCCACAATGGTACCTCTCCCCGAGTCCTTCCTCCTGCTCAAACCAGGATGGGAAAAAACTGCTGGGGAGGAGCTTTGGAGTGACTGAGTGGGACTTCTCAGGTCCTCCCAGCTCTCCTTCCTGCTGGGCTGCAATGGGAACTGCTATGTGTTGTGTAGAGAGCCCTTACCTTCCATTTGATGCTTGCCTCAAGATCCCCTGGGACCCTGTGGGACATGTGTTTTCTTGGTGCTTAAGTTCATGCTTGTTAAGCCATGCTGATGAATTTCTTGTGTTAGGCTCAGCACTGCCCTGGGGAGCATTTAAACTGGAGAGGATCCCATCCTCAAAACACCAGCAGCTGTGAGTTGCTGGTGGGGTCCATCTTCATGTGATGTCTCACCTGTGCCCCTTTAAGATCAGGGGGGTGACTGATGCTTAATAGCCCCCATCGAACAAAAATGGTGTTTAATAGCCCCCATCAAAGCTGATAAATGGCTCTGCCTAATTATGATCATGAGAGCAGTTCCAAAACTGCATCAACCTTCAGGTACATAGGACCCTACTTGGGTAAATTGTTACAAGGAGACCATTGTAATACTTTTCTCACTCCCAGTGGAGACTTTGGGATTATCTGGGTTGTGGATTTTATTTCGTTGCAGGAGCAAACAGGAATTTAATGTGACTTATGTCCCATCAGGAGAGGAGCTGTATGGTAAAGGCTGCAGATCTGGTCCCTGAGCTGCTGGCAGCTGTGTGTGCAAGAGGACTAGGGGAGGTAGTGGTGTTGAGGACTCCCAGCTGCAAAAACCTGTTCTAGATGGAGACCGGGTGGAGCTCTGCCTCACCCCTGAATTGCCCAGTATCATTCTAAGGCTGCCTGGGGCTGGTCCTGCTCCTGCCGTGCCCCTGGGTTTGCTGATGGGATGTGCCCAGCTGCAGTGCTGCCTGGCCAAACTGGTTGCAGCTGGGCAGGGGGGTTTTCTCAAGCCCCGCTGGGCTAAAGCAGGGGGCAGAGGCAGCTCCTTGCATGCGATGCTCTTTCCTTCCTCCCCAGCCAGAGCCATCCAAAGAAACCTGGGGCTGATGCAGCTAAATGACAGCCAAAGTAACTGCAGTGCAATCCCCGTGAGCTTGTGAAGATGCTGTCATTACTCCCCGAGGAGATGATGGGGATGCTTTGCTCCTCTGAGCCAGGTGCTGGGCAGGACGGAGGGAGGAGACGGCCCCTGGAAGGTGCCACCTCCAGCAGCAGGTTGATTCGCAGCATTAAACCAGGGATTAGACTTGCTTGCATGGCTGGCCTTCATTATTGTAAGGTGAAGCTCTTCATATTACTAAAACAAATATAATTGGGTTTGCCTCTGGATGTTCTGCTCTCTTAAAGGTACTTCTTAAAATAGGTTAATTGTTAGTTTAAGTGTAGCCTCTGAACCTCATACAAAATAGTGCCTCCTGCTAGGTGAGGGCATAAGCTGTGCCTTTCTGCTCCCGGGGTGGTGTGCAGCTTGAGGGACGCTCCTCAGAAGGATTACAAGCTCTGGATGAGCAAGAAACCAGGGTAATACTTTAATTTTTTTTTTATTTTTTTTTTATTCACATTTTGCAAAGTGACTGTTACTTGCCAAGTATTTTTTGATAGGCCATATAACTTAATGCGTTAAAAAAAATCCTCTTCTAATGGCTAGTGTTGGGTATAGAAAACTCGAGTTCACTTCGAGTGGTTGTGTTAAATAAAGTAGCTGGAATGAATTGGTGGTTTCTGACCCTCGGGAGAAACTTTTCAAAAGCAAATAAGTATTGCCAGTGTGATCACACACTGATTGATTGACTGAACTGGCATAAAGCTTCTGGCATAAAACACTCTGGCATTTCTGAAAATGATTTATCCTTCAAGGCTTGGGGAGGATTCATCCTTAGCAGGTGCCTGTGTGATGGTTTGGGGTTGAGGATCAACTAGGAATAAGAGAGAATATTTTCTGTGTTGTGTCAAAACAACAAAAAAAAAAAATTCTGGGAGTAAGTGTAGGTGACATGGAAAATTTGGGATTCGGTCCCAGGACACCCCTGTGACCTGTGCTGCAGAGCTCCTG